CCCCCACCCCCCTTTATCCTTCCTCAGTTGTTCAGCTCATTTCAGTTTTCCTGTTTCAATGACCTGAACTGCTCCATCTCTTTTGATCTGTTCCCTTCAGAGAGTCGAGGTGTGCTGGGCTGGAGAGATGGCCTGGCCTATAAAGGCTAGGCTAACATCCAAAACAGGAGAGAGTCAAGGGGTGATCAGTTCTGTAGGGTTACCCACACCAAGGTAACATTTCCGTTACCTTGATCCTTTCGCATTTATGACATTGGCAGCGCTGTGCAGTCAGCCCCTCTGTCTGTATGCCAACCATGCTCTGCACTTCAAAAGAAGTCCCGGGCCTCTTAGGCACTTAGGGGGAAGGCTTCCTCCCCTCCCCCAGCCACTGGCATCCACCACTTTGCTTTGTGGCCCTATAGATTTAATTGTTCTTAGTGTTTATAGTGTATGAATTATACAGTGTTTTGTATAACTTTGTACATTTGTGTCTGCCTTTTTGCCTGGCATGTGTTTGATGTGTATTCATCTTGTACTATGCACCGGCACTTGGAGCCTCTTTGGCACATTCCCTGTGTATGGCCTGACCTGTTGATCTGTGTTTGGGCTGTTGCCATCTTTTGGCTGCTGTGGGTAGTGGTGCTGCCATCATTCAGACACAGGTGTTATTTTGCTGTTTGTTTCGTTCCTCTGTAACTCCTAAGGATAGTCTGCCTACATGAAGTCTGCCTTTGTAAGGGCACATGTATGTTTGTTTGCCTTTTGCCCTAAGAAGTGGAAACACGGCCTGTCCATTCTGAAAGAGATTAGCGAAGGGACGGTGATGTCACTGGCATAAACCATGCTGGGGTTCCGCTGGTGCGCTTCAACAAAGATTTGGCCTCCTTCAAGCCCGCTGGTTTTAGTGGCCACCAGAGTGACAGCGAGCAGATGGGAGCATCCTGGACAACGCCAGGAGTGGAGCCTGCACTCGAAAGAAGTGACATGGTCCAGTGAGCAGTTACAAAGGACTTAGCTCAGCCTCTGAGCCCAGCAGATCTGACCTCAGTGTTCTGCCAGTTTGGGTGTCCTTCCTCCCTTTGCTCTGTAACCTGTCCATTCAGGTACAATAAGCAGAATGTTTTGCTTGAGAGATGTGTCCTTTGTTTTCAGACAGGCAAATAAATTCATCTTTGTTTCCAATTTCCATTTAGTGGCATCTGTTTGTTTCCCTGGAATTATTTCTACCCTGCTATCAGTTTGATGTATTTTTACCATTGAGACTATTATCTGGCTATAATTTATTTTTAAACATAATTCTTTATTGATTCTTTGGGAATTTTATACCATGCATCCCAATTCTTCTCACCTCTTAGTCTCTCCTTATTTGTCCCTCACCCCTGTAGCCTGCTACCCAAAAGAATACCCCCAAATCAATTAAAAACCAAACCAAACCCACCCCCTCTCGTCATTCCAACACCTTATCACTCATCCTAGAGGCAGTGGGTGCTGCACTGTGTCAGGCAGTGGACCCTTTTGTGCAGTCAGCCCCACCCACAAATGTTCATTACTGTGAGTCATTGGTCTGGGTCAAGGCCTCTGGTACTCCATCATCACTGGACCCTTCCCGAACTTCCTCTGGGATATCCTGCTGTTGCCCTGAGTCATGAGATCCTGCTGTTATTGTTCCTCAGGACCGGTTCCTTCACACACTCCAGATGGGGTAGATGTTAGGGTGAGCCACCCCAAGGCCCAGGTGGTAGCTGAGCTTGTTCGTTTGGGCTCTGGGATTACCCCTCTCAGGCAAGGGGTAGAGCCAACTCTTTTAGGGTCAAGCCACAACCTTGGTGAGGAGTGCGGCCATCTTGAGTGGGGGAGGGGGCAGCTCTCCTGCTGCGGTGCCCAGTGAGAGGGAGGGCCAGCCATCCCAGGTTCAGTAAGGGGTTAGGCCAGCTCAGCAGGGCCTCAGATTTCAACATGTATGTTTCTTATGACCCCCTGTGGTAACATGGGCTGTGGACATCACCAAAGTCCCCAACTGCAGCAGGAACATGGATGTCACCATGGCCCTGGTGGCAGCACAGGCCACCTGAGTTAGTATCATCCAGTGGCAGCAAGGCACTCAGACACCAACATGGTCTCAAGTGACTGTCGAGATACTGGGCATCTGCCCAGCCTCTGGTGGTAACAGTAGCCACAGACATCAATCCAGACTCTGGAACTGGGTACATTTTATGATTTAACTTGATTTTAGTGTTATGAGAACCTGGGATGTCTTTCTTCTTCTTTTTTAGACAATGTTCCTCATGGTTCTGGTCATCTTGGAGCTCACTGTGTAGACCAGGCTGACTCACAGAGATCTGCCTGCCTCTACCCACCGAGTGCTGAGACTAAAGGCATGTGCCACCACTGCCCAGCTTCTCTTTCCTGATTCAAGATGAATTCTTACTCATTATTCAAAATTGGTTTGCTTATTTGTGTGTGTGTGTGTGTGTGTGTAAGTGTAGGTATTTGTAGCAATCAGATGACAACTTTTGGGACCTGCCTTATACCTTTTTGAGGTGGAGTCTCTCTTGCTGCTTTTGCTGTGCTGTGTACTCCAGGGGAGAGGACTCTGGGGCTCCAGGGTCCTTCTCCTGTTTCCACCCCTCATCTCATATTAAAGAGCACTGGGATGACAGCTGTGGGCCAGAACATCTGGATTTTTTAAAATATTTTATTTATTTATTATGTGTACAATATTCTGTCTGTGTGTCTGCCTGCAGGCCACAGGAGGGCACCAGATCTCATTACAGATGGTTGTGAGCCACCATGTGGTTGCTGGGAGTTGAACTCAGGACCTTTGGAAGGGCAGTCAGTGCTCTTAACCGCTGAGCCATCTCTCCAGCCCCCACATCTGGATTTTTATGTGAGTTTTGGGAATGAAATTTGCTTGTGTGGCTAGCTCCTTGTGTAACTTTTCCCTCCTGAGATATCTCTCTGGTCTCAAACTTATTTTTTAATTTATTTATTTTCAAAATTAGTTTTTCAAAAGCCATGCCTTTGGAATAATTTCAAAGTATGTTGATAGTGAGAGGGTTATATGAACACAGATGGACCAGAATTCTTCAACAGGTTACACAGAAGATGCCATCACAAGTGAGCATCCAGTAACATCCAGATAGCCAGGGGGTGCCTGGCCAAAGAGGGCCTTTGTCACAGGGGATATTGAGAACAAGCTGATTCCTTGATGATACTGGAAGGGAGTGCCTTTGCCATACAGTGCCGTGAGCATCTTATTGGAAGCCTGCTGTGATGGCATGTGGCCATAATCTCAACAGTTGGGAGGCTGATACAGGAAGATCAGTAGTTGGAGGCCAGTCCAGTTAGATACTGAGATCTCATCTCACAGCAGCAACATAAGATGTAACTTGAGCCCCATGTGTAACTTAAATTTTCTCATAGCCACATTTTAAAAATTAAAAGCAAACAATAAAACAAGAGAATTACTTCTCAATAAAATTTACTTGGCCCAGCCTAGTACATCTATAATATTACCACTTCTATTTTATCAATATTTACAAATTCTCAAGGAGATCTTTTATATTTTTAGACCCAG